AAAGTAACCTGTACTCAGCAAGGAAAATTCACAAGACCTGAATCCTACCAAAAATATCCTATAAAGAATCAGGAGAACAAGAGCCATAATAACTTGAAAAACTAATTAATCGAAGCTTGACCTGGAATTGCCCAGACAGACAAGCAGACAAAAGCAACGTTTATAACTTTATTCCAATTTTTTCTTGAGATCAAGGAAAGATTGAACCTGGTAAGTGGAGACATGAAATATTGAAAAATAATGCAAATTGAACTTCTACAAATGAAACCCACAGCAACTAAGATCAAAATACAATGGGTCAGACTGACAGCACTTAGACATTGGAAAACAAAAGATGAGTGAACTTGATGACATAGCAACCGAACCTAAATTCTTCAAATCGGAACACAAAGAAAGTATGACCCCAAAAATGACCAGGGATATCACTGTGTCTGTAACACACCACCCATGCGTCCTGAGAGAAAGTCTATTGTTAACCTGCTTCCCACATCATTCAAAGCTCTGGAATCTCTGACTGAAACTCGGTTGCTGCGGGCAGGACAGGCAAATTCCAAGAATCAGGTGGACTGAGAACGACCTAGGAGGCCAGCAGGAGGGACTGAGAGTTTCCGCGGGGACAGAGACCCGAGCTCCTGAGGCGACTGGGCACACGGAATTGGGGTGGGGGCTCAGCTCACTCCAGCATGAACCCAGCTTAACTAATTACATCTGAACTGGCTCCAGGTTTGAATAAGGTCCCATTCTCAGGCACTGCCGGTTAGGAATTCAGCTGGTGAGTGTGAGGGGTCCCACATACCTGTGTGCACTTTTGGGTGGCCAGAAATTTTCCTCAGTGTCAAATGTCACAACCCCAAAACTTTGTTCCTTTGTCACATTCCTACTCCTGTTCCAATGCCTGTGCTGTGTAGTAAGTATCTGGATAAGGAATAAGGATGTTAACTGTTATAAGAGGAGTGAACATTCGTGAGTGCTTAATACTTGTCAAGCACCATCAAAGTTCTTCCTATTTATTACCTTGTTGAATCACAAATAATCTGTGAGAAAGCATTCCCCTGACAACCCAGGTCACAGATGGGGAAACTGAGGCATGAAGGGCTGAGCAGCTGTGTCCAAGTCAGAACGAGAATGTGGCAAACCGGCAGCAAACCAAGTTCTCTCCAGCCCAGAACCCCTGGTCTTCAGCACCTTCCTGTGGCCTCCCTCTGTGCTTTCAGCTAAGACATGACCTTTACTAATGTGCAGGAAAGCCCTTTATCCTATTTGAAACACAAGTGACTGATATTGTGACTTTGCGGTGCTGCCCTGTTCAATAGAAAC